CCCGATGCCATTTTCTCCCTTGGACCCTTTTAAACCCCTGGGGCCAATGCTTCCAGGGCTACCCTTACTTCCTTTAATTCCTATCGAACCTATCTCCCCTTCGGATCCTTCTGGACTCCGTGGACCAATTTTCCATGGAAGTCCTATAGCGCCTTGTGAGCCCCGCTTTCCGATGATGCCCTTCTCTCCTTTAAAACAATCTCTACCCGGAGAACCCGGAGTTCCCGGCATTCCTGGGACGCCAGGAATTCCTGGCATTCCAGAATGAGGATCCGGCTGTTGAAACAAAACAAAAAATCTTACTGTTAATGAGCTGCATATACGGTCTTGCCTTACCAGGTAGCTCAAGAAGTTAATGTGTCACCCAATGCCTTTTCCAGCTCGCGCTCTTGAAAAACATTTTCTTTATTAGTTGATATTATGGTAAAAAGAAAAGTCAAATGTGGTTTAGCGTTGTCTGTACTCTTATCGACAACGATACGGCGTTATCCGTCAATGACGAGGACAGCAAGAAAATAACCATAAGGATAAAAGAGAAGGCACCCTGCACGTTCAGCTCAGTCTCTCGTGACTGCCGTGGACAAGTTGTTTCACGGAACACTTCACTGCAAAACTGATCTTTGGACAACGACGAGGACTTCCTTTTATTGCTTTCCGTCATCTTGTCTCCTCAAAACAGGAACTTCATTCCACTGATCTGGAATGCAGAAAAGATTCGCTACTTTGAGCTGTACGTGACAGATCAGATGCAATGCTCTCAACGCATAGTTATATATTTAGCTCTCTTTAACCAAGCATGCAGGAAGTCTGTATCGGAGACTGTTTACCTGAGAACGAGACCGTGAGTACAGACCGAACGAAGTGGGGTCTGTACACATGACCGAGGTCAAGATTCTCCCATACAGACCGAGTAAGCTCGGTTAATAAGATGTTTATTATATGGTAAACAAGAAAACTTGGTTTGTACTAGCTGACATTTGGCCTGCGAACGGCGATGAGCTGAACTTTAATCTGCCAAAGTTTGCTCGTCCTTTTTACTTTTTTTGCCAATCAGGCTTTTGGCACAAAATTTATGAAGAATATAGCCAATTTTTCTTGTATTTTAGTTTCTAAATTTTTCATCGCAGAAAGTAACCGATGTAAATGGGAAAATCTAGACCGCGGTCAATCATATTCGCGATTTCGGTAATTCCCAGACCTTGTAAGACACAGGAATAGAATAAGAGCTCAGCTGACACACTTTTAAATCAAATCTTCCGATTCAGTTTATACTGATTGGTTACTTAAGACTAAACTTTATTTTCCATCTTTTTATCCGGAAAGTATTTACGTTTGTGGCAAGCAATGCTTGATGATTATTTAACGGACATCATGAACTTGGCACAAAAATTATTGTGAACTACCAAGATTTCTAATGGTATTACTGTGTCATGGTAGTATTACTTAGCTCTTATTAACCGAGCAGGAGGTCTGTTTAGGAGAATCTTGACCGAGGTCGTGAGTACAGACCTGACTGCGTTTGGTCTGTACACACGATCGAGGTCAAGATTCTCCCATACAGACCGACTTAGCTCGGTTAATAAGATGTTTATTATATGGCAAAG